CTTCTGGAATGTTTAGGGATGCGCCAGCTTTCTCCGCTTATCTCCAGAGCGTTGCTCTGGAGTCGAGAGCACCGTTTTCACCCCCCTTCCTCCATTCCAGTCCATCACAATCCAGCTTATAAAAAACAACATTAACTAATATTAGCCAGTAGAGCTCCCCTAACTATCTGGCCCAAACAATTGGGGGAACATCCAGGTCTTCAATGAGTTACAAAGGCTAACCAGTTTGGGACTCTCTTGATCTCTAGAGGAATCCTGTTCCATAGGGCAAGCACTGTCACAGAGAAGGCACAACTCTGGGGTCCAACAAGAAGATGTTTAATGGAAAGGACCCGAAGCATACTAGATCTGGTGAGATGAGCAGAACAAAGATAGACAGGCAGTCCCACAAATAGTCCCCTGGATCTATGCCTTGTAGGGCTTTATAGGTGACAACCTCCACCCTGAATCACACCCAGAAGCCCACTGGAAGCCAATACATTCATGGAACAGTGGCGTTATACAAGAGTAATGAGAAACACCAACAACTCCTTAAAGCAGCTGTATCTTTTCCCACAATCTTGCAGCCATAATTTGTGGCTAACCTCTACCCCTACCACGAAGCTAGCAGCAGAAATACAAAAACCAATCAAGGAGAAGTGAGATAATCCTCAAATTCCAATTTATTACTATCTCATAATAGTTCTAATATTTTGTTGATTTTTTTTCTCCCTATAAGCAGATTTAAAAGTGAAGAAACTATCTTTTGCCACATGATGGGCAATCTTTATCCATTTAGCGCTGTTTTGACTTGGCACTTGACATTTTTCAGGATGTTAGGTGGAGATCCCTTAAATCTGCCTTAGATAAGTTTAAAGCAAATATTTAATTTAAAGTTAGTTATCAGCTACAACTGTGAATGAAGTCAAGGAATATAGAATTTAAGGTTAGAGTTAGGATTTCAAAATGGGTTTTTAGTTACATCTTTGTTAGACAACAAATATAATGCACTTGCAATTAGAATTACCTTTCTCAGCGTTGAGATTCCACTGTGTCCTCTAATGGCTGCCAAAAGAGCTGAGCGCTCAGTCTCTGTTTCCATGAATTTTGACTTTTTCTGAGTTCCATTTATAGTACTGTGTGAAATCTGGCATATGACAAAACACATGGATTTTTTTTACTTAAAATATGGAAGCATGGATAATATCAGCACTTGATTATTTTTTGGGAAACATGCCTAACTTTGGCCTTTATCTGACCTGAATATATTGAGCTATGTATAAAAGCAGCTTTGCAATATGCTAAGTACTATAATGATCAGAGAAGAAGAAATAAGATCTGTTGGCAGGTGCCATACTAAAATATTGTGTTGTTTGACTAGATTTTTTGCATATATTGCATGATGATAATTCTTACCTCTCTGAGGACAGAAATAGTCTGATATGCTATCTATAATTATAATAGCAAATCTTAAATATGTGAAGCTGTTATTGCTGTTGACAGCATCAAACTGCATGTGTAGAATTGATGTTAATCTACTACAGTATCTTGGTAATGTGCAAGTTTTAAAGTGTGATAGTGGCTAACAGGTCACTGGAAACAATAGTTATTATAAAAAGGATAGTTATAGCTTTGCTAAAAACAAACAAACAAACAAAAACCAGCAAGGACGCTCCCTTACGGGAAATGATGCTGCATCCAAAGTTGCTTTTAGCCAACAAATATTTACCTTTCGAAGTTTGTCTCTTCCTCCTGCAGTCTGAATGGCTTCCATTAAAGCACTGTGTAATGATGTATCTTTTGGAAGTGGCTTCTGGATGACTGATTTAAACTTCTTCTTTGGCCCAAAAATATTGTAGATGTTGTCCTCTATGATGCTAGAACACAGCTCATTCCCTGTATTGCCAAGTTGCTCATCTTTTTCTGAAGTCATTTGGTCGACCATAAATGGTGGTATATTGCTTGATTTCACAGGGGAACTAAATATTGTGGCAGATGAGTCAGCATTAGGTTTGCTAAGAAAAAAGGGAGAGCTGACTTGATCAACTGGCTTTTTCATCGCTACTGAAATCATTTCTCTATCTGTTATATCTTGTACTGAACCACAGTTGATCTCCTGTTCTGTCAGGTTGTTTTTATTAGAAGTTATTCTAGTAAATGATCCGCTAATGCCATTAGTAGGTTTGTTTTGATTCAGTGTCTTGATGTTTGACAACCTAGAATCAGCACAACACGGCCGCGTATTTGACACATTTTTACTGCAACTGAAGGTAGTTGAATACGGTTTCTTTGTTTTTGCTGGCTCTGTTTCCACTGGGTGGTATTTGGCCACAACAGTACTTTTAGGAAGTGGCTCAATTTCAGTTTTCACCCCTTTTGCTTTATATAGCTTTTCTTGATTCTGCCTTTCTTGGCTGGCTTTAAACTGGGTTAGGTCATTGCAATTGGCAACAGCTGTGGCTAAATAGTGATCTGATGTTTTTTGGGGGGGCATCTGAAACAGAAGATCCTTCCTATTGATCACCGGTGCCAAGACAGTTTTCCCTGAAAACTGTGGGATATTCATAGGGAGCTTTGTTTCATTTGGTCTAACAATATTTTCAGCACTGGAACCAACCATTGGCAATGTTTCTTCTTTTAGACTCCTAATACAATCAGGCTTGGTTCTGGGGTTTTTATTGAGTTCTTTGGAATTACCTGTGATTTCTGGTTCAACAGAATGGCCTACTAGTAGTTGTTCACATTGCTTTTCTATAGAATTTAACTCCTTATATTCTTTAGCTTTGCCAATAACAGCTTCTTTTGAGGTCATATTTACTGTAATTTTTCTAATACCACCACTATTTGGAGTTACGAGGTTACCTAACTCATCTATTCTAATGGCACCAGTGTAGAGAGACACATCTTTGTCAAAATATTTTACTTTGGGTTTGGGAGGAACTACTTTAAAAGTTGTCAGACCAGTTTTTGGGCCATAGATTTCAATTCCATTGTTAATACAATGATGCCATGGAGATTGTGTTGGGTCAGATTCTCTCTCATCAGGATTTTTTGCTAATGCATGCTTAAATTCTAATTCAGATTTATTAAGTTCATCATTGATATCATTTTCATTCAATGGCCTTGCTTTGTCAGGTACACCATTAACTTTGTTCAACAGTTTGAAGTTATAAGCAATCCCCTGAGCATTGGGTTTCTCCGAATCAATGCAATTTTTGGAGACGCTTTTCTGCACTGTGTTTTTCTTGTTCTGTTTTTCATTTGAGAAAGTATATACTGCAGTCTCAGATCGCTGCTCTTCAGTTTGGTCCAAAAACTCTTCTGTAGAAGATTTTTGTGACAAGTTCTTGGGTAAATAGGAAGATGTTCCTACATATTCCTTACCGTCAGATTCAATATTGTTATTTTTGTTAATCAATTTACCTACATAGGTTGATTGAACTGGAATATTTTCACTAGTCTCCATCTTGGAAAAGAAAACATTTTCTTCTTCTGTATTGGAATGGGTGGTGGTATAATTTTCTGGAACTTCATCAATGATTGTCACTGGCACAGGAAATGAAACATCACAAGGAGTCTCAGCATTTTGTGGAAGAGAGCTGGATGTACCGTTCGTCTCAATGAGAACCGACTGGCTTTTAGAATCAGTATGTATATTTTCCATCACTGAAAATATTGTCAACAAATTATTTCAAAAACTATTTACAACGATACTGCAATATTTTCTAAAGTCTTATCATACAGTAATTAACAGTGTCTCAAGGAATCCTAAGAGACATTTAATATTTTCTTAGATCAGCATTCCCATACTGCAAACTATTTTCATTTTTTTTTACTGCAAAAGTTGTTTTCTATACAGTATAAAAGGCTACTGTTAGAAAAAAAAAACTGAACACAATTTTACACACACACACACACCCACACACATATACATATACATACATGCATACATACATACATACATACATCATTCAATTTTTTGGTATATATTTGCATTGTGCTAAAATATAAACAAATTCTGCATTTGGTCAACTATTTATATATAATAAAGGGAAGTGTTATCAACACAGCTTACTTCCACAATGTTATTCCTGGGCAAGACTCCAAAATCACAGAATATAGTTCTCAAGAAAGCAAACTGTATATTATGTATTTACACGTAATGGGGTCTTACATATAATGAAAAAATGTACAGTATTAATCCCTGCATCAGAGAATTTCTACATGAGAACCCTATAAAATGTCAAAAGCTATGTGATTAGCTTATATTTATCTACAACACAGAATAAATACATTTTACTCTGTGAATAGGTAGAGATCTGTAGAACAACACTACAACCCTTTCCCTTCAGTCCTGTTTTGAGACTTTTTAGTTGCCAATCTACAAATGAAGAATTCAAGAATTTACCTCAGTTGAACAAAGCACAGTTCTATTGCAATGACAATAGACTTTTCTATAACTTTTCACTGTACAGTGGCACAATTTGACTCTTCTATGCTATTGCGTTTCTTCTGTGATGGAATACTCAATCTTCCAACAAAGTGTGTCTAAATAACATTTTTTAGAAGGTCGTTCTCTTACTCTATGCCTATAAATATAGTATAAGCAGTGGTGTATTGCTGAATGTTTAAAAACTGACTCTGCTGGTTCTATTGCTGCTGCGCCTTGCCCCTAGCCATGGAACAGCTGATTGGCATGTTAGGCACTGAGATTCACCTCTGCTGTCAACCGGCTCACAAAATTCCCAAAAATTTAACAAACAACTCTCACAAGCTGGTGCAAGCCAGCTCAAGCACACCACTGAATGTAAGCATAGTAGAAGACTTATGTCCAAAAAGAGAAGGATAAGATAAAGCTGATCATGGAAGCGGAACAATTTCACTGGGATAATATTCAATAAGGCTACTAGGTTATGATAGGTAATTATATCATCATTATTACTTTCTCCAACATGGAGGAGTAAAGAAATCTTTCTGACCTTTCCAGTATATAGTCTGCCATTACTTCCTCCTTCTATTATGTTTGCACCAGAGATGTGCCAAATCAACTTCCACCTACCTGCTAGGCTTTTGTCCAGTGCAGGCTGAGCCTTTTGCTCATGAGCAACCATAAACATATCAGTATTCTCAAATTTAGCTTCCATTATTCTGCCATCAGCCCTGTATTGGGAGGACAACTGGTTAATTGCTGGTTTCTAGCAGGGCTAATAATATTAATATAGTCATTTGTGCGAACCAGTGACTTTAGATTGGGCCAAGGAACAAAAGACATTATTACTGATGCTTGCTGGATAATAGAGAAAGCCAAAGAATACCAAAAAGATGTCAATATGTGCTTTACTAATGATAGAAAGGCCTTCAAATTATTTCAGCCAGGTCAGGTTATGGAATGTCCTTGGGAAAATGGGACTCCAGAACATTTCACTGTCCTCATACAAAACCTATATGCAGGCAAGAATATATTTATATATTTGTATATAAATATACAGTTTGGACTGGCTTCAGGTTGGCAAGAGTAAAACAAGGCTGTATACTGTCTCCTAATTTACTCAACCTATGCACTGAATATATACTGTGGGAGGCTGGATTGGAGGAGGTGTGTGGTTTTAAAACTGCAGGAAGAAACATCAATAACCTAAGCTATACTGATGACATTATTCTAACAGCTGACAATGCAAATGATCTGCAAGCTCTAATAAGAAAAGTCAAAGAGCACAGTGAACAAATGGGATTAAAGAAGATCAAAATAATAAAAGCAGGTACAAAAACCAGCCTTAAAATTGTCAGTGAAGATACTGAAGTGTGGAATAGCTTCTGCCTTTTAGGATCAACTATCGACAGTAAAAGAATCAGCAGTCAAGAAATACACCATAGACTATCACTTGGTAGTGTAGCAATGAAGGCATTGGAAAAGGTGTTGAGATGCCATAACATGTCTGTACCTGCAAAGATCAGAATCGTGCAGGCAGTGATCTTCCCTGTGACATTCTATGGAAGTGAAAATTGGGCTCATTTTATCCTACTTTGGACACATTATTCGAAGACCTAGCTCTCTGGAGAAGGCTATAATTCTGGGAAAGGTGGAAGGAAACAGAAGAGGACAAGCAGATGCAAAGTGGATGGTCTCAATCATAGTAGTGATAGATGTACCACTGGAAGACCTGAAGGGCCAGGTTGGGGATAGACCCTGCTGGAGAAGGTCTATTTATGTGGTCACTAAGAATCTACACTGACTTGATGGCACATAATTTTAATCAAATCCCACAGAATCAAAGTGCTTTAGAATTACATGTAATAACAATAATAAAACAACATTAAAACATTAAAATCATCATCTTTTCCTTGACAAAGGAAAAGTAGAGTGGATTAGAACTGTTTGTCCTAACTCAAGCAAGTAAAAAAATGTGTCCTGAATTGCCCCAATTTGCCTAGAGTTGGAGTATAGTCTAGTAATTACCAAAAATGGCCATTATTAATTGCTATTGTCATGTACTCAGTGAGAGGATGGGGAGGTGTCAGGGGATGAGACATGGAGCTTGGGTTTCCTGTTTTGACCAAGAACTTAGAACAAAAAGTAGAGAGCAATGCAATATTCTGCAACTCTGATCTTTAAGGCAGGTCATAAGCCAGCCAAAAGACTGCTAAAGAGACAAAGGGCTGAATGGTGGAGGAGCACTGGGTTATAGGTCAGGTTCCCTGGGAGAGGTAATCAACTCTTACTCTGGACCTTGGATTTTCTCTGAGCTTGTCTCCTGTCCTCCTTTGGATTTGGTGCCTGATTAATAGTCCATAGGTCTCAGTCCTTGATTTGCTTTTTGAGCACAAATAGTCCACCCTCAAAGGTAAAGCAAAAGGACTTTTGCAAAGGCTGATCCATTCTCACTAGCTGCAATAAAGCCTGGGTGTGCTTATTTGTATGTTTAGGCCTGTAACAGATTTATAACCTGCTAGTTTGTTTCCTCGCAGCCAGCTGTGCCAGTACAGAAAACTTGCATACCATCTCAAAAATGTAACTTACCTTTGTTGATTGTTCTCAGATTCATCACTGTTAAAGGAAGCATTCTTTACAGAACATACTTCTGCAGCCAAGGTCTCCTCTACATCGATGGATTTATCTCTTGAATTTATACCAGCATTTTCAAAATCCAGGGATACAATATCAGAGGGTAAATTAATAACTTCTGAATCATCTATATTATCCTCTGACATAGAACAACTGCTAAAAGAGATGGTTTCTTCTGCATTGTCTTCATGATAAATATGTGAAAGTTGAACATTTCCTAGAAAAAACACAGGAAAAACGTGAAACACAGAAAAGCTTTCATTGTTTGGAATCATATTGCCTAAATCATTACTGTGAATTTCAGTGTTTATTATAGTAAGGCAAATCTCTTCCTACCAATATTTTTGCACAATGAAAGACTTTTCCATGGTAAGATTCTGTATTTCCAGATACAGTGGTACCTCTAGTTACGAACGCCCCTCCTTACGAATTTTTCGAGATACGACCAGCTCCGGCCCGAAAAATTTACCTCGACTTGCGAACTCCGCCTCGAGTTACGAACCGGATCCACGGCCATTTGCCCTGCTGCCATGTGGTCGCGGCTTCCTGTGGGCGAGATCGCGGTAGCAAGGAGACGTTCGGTGAGGCTTGTGGTGTGTTTTGTGGCGTTTGGAAGGT